GCCCTCCTCTCTCTCTCTCTCTCCCCCGCGCCACCTCTTTCGTCCTCCTGCTGCTCCTCTCGCGCGATCCTTCCCTTCCTCCACGCGCCTCTCCTTCTTCCTTCCGCGCTCTTCCCTCTTTCTCGCCCTCACCTCGCTCGCTTCAACACCAACGCGCTTCGTCGCTGCCAACGTTCGCCGGGTGACGTCACTGGCGTGGGCGCACCCCCACACACCGCGTCTCTCTTTCCTCCTTCTCTCCTTCCTTCTTTCTTCCTTCGTCTTCTTCTTCCTCCTCCTCCTCCTCCTCCTCTTCGCCTATTCGCCCTATCATCCCGGCTCACTTTCGACTCGTTCGCTCGAAACACCGATCTCGTCCGACCGATTTCGACGCCGGAAGTCCGCGGAAATTTTCGGCCCGGGACATCACCGCGTGTCCCGACCTTGAAATTGGAGCGCCCGGGGAGAGGAGGGGCGCTCGACCGCGCGAGGAGAACGCTAGAAGGTTGAGGTCGATACTCTCCCGGGTTGGATGACTTTTACCGTAAACACGCTGCCCCCGCGCTCCTGCCTGCCTCCCCTTCGATTCTCCTCTCCTATGTACCCTTCCTCTTTCCAATTCGATAAGAGGATTCTTACGAAACGATTTCTCGCTTTTTCTTTTTTTTTCACAAACAACCTTACAGTTTTTGCATTCCGTTGGAAACGTACAGTTTATTTGGTTTCCTTTTGGTGGTCGTCGATGGATCAGATCCTCGTCAAAATTTCGAGTCCATCGATGACGGATTCATCGAAAATTTATTCCTCTCTCTCTCTCTCTCTCTCTGTAAATAAAGGCGATCGCGTATTGCGCGTTATCCTTATCCGCGCGAAGGATAAATATCCACGTTGGCGGCCGCGTAATATTAGGGGCACGAGTAGTTAGTTAAGTGCAGGTTTCGACGCGTGCCAGAAGCGCGTCACGCGTATCACGCGTTTGAAAGGCAGAGCGCGATCCTCTCTCCGTCTACGGGGGAGAAACCGCAAGAGAGAGAGAAAAAGAGAGAGAGAGGGAAAAGTAAGCTGGTAGAAGCTGGAAACAAGTTGGAAGTTTTTTACTCTCTTTGTTCGATAGACCGTTCGAAATTAAGCGATCCTCGTTTCATCCATCGAGGATCGAAAAAAAAAAGGAAAAGAAAGAAAGAACTGGAACCACGATTGCGTAAAATTGCGAAATTCCAATTGCGAATCGAATAGAACGAAAAGGAAGGAGATACGTATCTTTTCGAACTTTCCATAAAACGACCCCCCACCCCCCCTAAAAGGATCCTATTCTTCGATCGATCCTGTTAAATTTAAAAAAGCGCAGGATCCTCCCAGGGAAAGGTGAGCTACGAGGAGGATTTTACGCAACTGTAAAACCTAACGACGTTCTTCGTTAGCTTGCTGGAACGCACCGTTCGATACGATTCGATCTTGATCTCCTCGTCTCTTTCTCTCTCCCTCCCCTCTCCTCCTTCTTCCCCCCGTCCCTCGTTCCCCAACGTCGCGACAATTTTATCATCGACGCTCCGCGGAGTTGCACGCGATGCTCTAAAGATAAGAGGCGCAGAAGATGTCCTCAAGCGAGCATAGAGGTATGGAAACAGGTCAGTCCAGTTTTTGCAATTATGTCAAAACGACTATTCCAACGCGTGTATACCCTCTAGCTAGAAAGGGTTGCGACTTCCCTTAAGCCCAAGGTCTCGAAGGATCGATCGGCGATCGAACACGTCGCATTCTCTCCGCCCGGATCGTCCTCGGAGTGCGCGAACGGATAGGAGGCTGCCGTTGCCTCCATGACCGAATAAAGATACGAGGTCGCGAGCGACCGTGACTGAACGAAAGAAGGAAAGGAAGGAAGGAAGAAGACGAGGAGGGAGAGAGAAGAGAGAGAGAGGAGGACGACGAGTCTCCTCCTCCTCCGGCGGGGCGGAAATTCAAACGGTCGTATCGCGGCTCGCCGAGAGGATGAAAACTGAAACGGGGTCGAGGGAGGAGAGGGGGAGTAGTCTCTCACCTGATCGACCGTTTAAAGAATCGTAAATTCGACGATAATGATTTCCACGAGTGGCGAGCAACACCGGACACCCGACACTATAATTTCTCGGTCTTCGATTACTCGTGTGCAACATTTTTCTACCTCCCCCTCTCTCTTTCCCTTTCTCTCTCTTTCTCTTCACCCCGAGTTCTCCATTAACCGGTATACCCTCGGGCGTACGATTTTTAAACGAATACAAGATTCTTCGCGGCGTTGTTTCGACGCGAAGCTTTTTTCCGTTGCAACGAAAAGAAACAAGAACACGCTCGAAGAGAATAGATAATTGAGAGATACGGAGAGCGTGATGCGATCGAGAATACCAAGGTTTTAAATATATGTATATATATATATATACGTAAGCGAGAACCAAATTGAGCGAGGCGAGAAGAAAAAAAGAGATGGTTGAATTCAGGGTCCCGTTTCGTGGCCGTGGCTCCTCTCTAATCGTTCTTCTCCTTAAACCGGCAGGGGTATGTAGAGCCGCGGAGCAAACGAGCAAA